GGAATAAAGATGAATGGAGAGACCGTTGTCATGAAATCCCATTCCTTGATGCTGCACATTTTTCTAGACAAGCAAAAATGGTGAACATACGGTAACTGATTTCCCTTAAATAGACATCTCACTCATCAATTCCGTAAAGCACACTCTTAGAACGTCTCTTGCGGTGTACAATGGTTCCGCTTTGGCACGATAGGGGGAATTGTAGCGATCTAAGATGGGTCTTCTGTTGAAGGATAAGTCAGAGTCATGGATAACTATATAGAATAAAATACGAAGCGGCGTGCCTGGCACTGCATAAGGTTTGAACGGTGAATAATTTTTTAAATACTACCAAACAGATTAGCTATGTTTCGAGAAAGAAAGAAAATCCACTGATTTATCTCCATAAGCACAAAGTCAAATCCTGATTGCTGATCAGTATGAACAAGATTCTGAAGAAAACTATAGGGCCTTGGGGAATGAGTGTTATCTTGTATCTATTGTGTGTATGAGAGAGGGAATATTCAGATATAGCTTTTTCAATTATAGAAGGCCTTTTCGTTTACACTCAATGTCGGTATCCCAGGTAGCTAAGGAAAATCGATCTTCCAGTCCATGTCAGTAGAGCAGATTCACCGATAATTCATACAGTTACGGACACATCTTGGCTTCTTAGACAGTTGGAAACAGTGAATACAGTTTGCTAAATACCGTCGGTAAAGAAATACCAAATGAACGGAGGTAACATATCCTTCAAAGGGTTGTGCATTTGCAGAGATATTAATGTGTTCAAGACAGTTACTGATGGGAATGATATAAATCAATCTTACTCATTACCTTCTATTTTACTTTCATGCAAACCACTTGTTACAAGATAAGTTCAGCTCGTGACAAATAGGTCAGGAAGTGACAACAGTGTTCGGAAATTAATTTGGAAATGTAGACCACACTTCAATCAACCGGTTAGGTGTTATTTTCGTATCTGATGTGTTCAGGCCGATAAACGGACCTCATCTACACAGATATAATAAAAAATCGTGTCACCTGTTGTTTGGGTTTGCCAAGTATAATTAGTGACTGCAAAGCACCCGGCCTCATGTTAACATCCGCAACTGTAAGCGCCCGATAATACACAAAAATATCGATCATCTCAAGAAGGCAGCCCCAGTAGCAAAGAACGGTCAACCGGTACCCGTGGGTCAACTAATCATGAGATAATTTGCGTGTGGAGGTATTAAGTTCACGCACAACACACATGAGGATTGTGCGTACAACGCAAATATGCAGTTTTTTGGCTCGTAATGGTTTACACATTCAATTATCGACCACAATCTGGAGATGGACCTAGTGGCAATCAGTCACTAATTGATCAATGGGGCAGCTATGTGAATATCTCGCGTAGAGGAAAAAACGAGGAATGTGCACCATCAACCTATAATCAGTCGTGCACAGAACTATTCTCGATTTACGAAATCGCAAGGCCTGAGCAAGAAACTAGACAGACGAGGGGAAAAACATTTGGACTTTGCAAATGCTAGATGAGATGAGATGAGGTAAAACCTTTTCCCTTCGTGATGAGACAAACTTTGGAAACGCAGACCGAATTCTAGCAATAGGCAGAGCATGAACTACTTCAAGTCTATTTTATACACTGTTTACAATCATGCACAGAGTCGGATGAAATGCACTTTTAGAGTAGTGGTATGACCAAACCGTTACAAATAAATGGTCAAAATAAACAAGATCATAAAATGCATTCTAGTAGAGGCGTTACACTGGTAAGAGCGGGTAAGCTAATGTGAATGTGCGCTACCATTTTCAATGAACATACTTGTTCCGCTAAAGAACGCCAACCCAAGTCATCCGTCCGATCGCATTCATACGTTTCACTCAGAAGCGGATTGAACGGCTTGTTCACACGGACCGCAGTGGTCGCATATGAGGAAACTGTAAATGCTGCCACATGTGCCATTTGCTCCAGGGAATCCTGACATTGCGCAGCACGATCCAAACAAGCAGAGTATTCGAAATCCTCGGTCAACCGTTGCAGCATAGACAGCGGCTCACTGAAATTCACCTGAGAAACAGTGACAACGACGACGGTCATCGTGTTTATGGAAGAAAAGCAGTTCGTCACTATTTCCAGCGGACCCCAATAATTCTGTCCGCACAACCTGAAATTCATTAAAACTATACTTTTCTATAGATCTAGTACCGTATGAAAATATAGTATGAGAATATATTCATAGTCAAAGCATCCCGTGAACGATCAAAAAGATTCAAAATATTTGGAACTGATATTTCCGAATTGGTCATGCTGATGCTCAACGAAGATTCTCTTATCAATGGAATATTAACAGAAGACAAGAAAAGTTTTCAAACTCAATTCGCATATGCTTGAAAAATTCGCTGTATCAACAGAACGAATACAGGATACTTTACTCGTACAATGAACTTCAGACACTTCATGCCGAATAGACCACTGTAATTAAGCACATGTGGAGTCAGCACAAAAGTTAAGAGCTACGAATACGAAAAACCTACAGGCATGGGAATTTTCGTTAACTCTTTGCCGATACAGTTTTTCATTATGCTCCACAAGTTTAAACTGTAATTCGGTCTAGGTGGAATCACCGTACGTCTGGGTCGTGACAGCTGACGGGATGGAACAAAAACGGTTTGTGTAACGCTAGCCGAAGATTCTGTCTGAGCCCGATCAGCATGCAGATCTGCTTGGCGTTCCAGAACACGATCGCCTGAAGGAACGAGAGTAGCAGAACGACTGAAGCGAAGAAGAAAGAGGAGACCGTTGCAGAATACAATTGGAAATCGTGATCAAGGAAATGACTGTTTTAAAATCAAATGGCAGTCCTGTCAATGATGGAATTTACGAAACGGGTAACACAGATATACCGCTACGCGTGAAAATTTAACGTCGCCTATATACTGACCTTAAAAACTGCGAATCACACTGGAACTGGCTTCCAAAACTAGTCTCAGTTAAGTTTAATTAGTAAACCAACTAGCCTTGCACTTTGACTGCTGTCTTTTGACTACCTATTATGTCAACCAATCAAGCATTGAAAGTATACGAGGATAATTCCAATAATTCCAAAGATACAGAGTGCGGATAAACTGAATGTATAGAGGTGGTCGATGCCCAGGTGCCACTATTTAAGACGGTCAGCAATGTTGCACAGTGCCCCTAACCATCAACTAGGACGACGACGTCTTAAACTGATAAGGATAACTCGACTTACAGGAGCAAGTCTACTGGCTAGGGATTTAAACCCTCATGAAAGACTCTGGTGATCCTCTACAAACTCCTACCTATCTACGCTAACGTACCTCACCGAAGATAACTATAAGGTGAATTGAAATAAGCGCAATACATGCCCCACACACCACTACTCACGGAGGTTAACTAGCGGATTGGTACGCGACAGTAACTACTCAAAACTTTGCCTAACCTCGACATTGTCCATCCGGTTGTTCCCCAAACTAGTCCAACAGAAACACATGGAGGAAAGCTGACGCTTGACCCTATACGAACAGCTGAGTATCCCTGCTGTCATAATTTTTTTTCGAATTCGCCAACACCCAAGAAACCTTTTGTGCGTGCGCGGTACCTACTGCCGGGACCTCTTCAGCTCGTAATAAGAACACTTCTTGCACCCCAGCGCATCTCATTATATTCAAAAAAAAACATGCGCTACCATATAATTTAGGCGCTTGGTAATCAGAACCGCAAATGCTTGATTGATTATTGCGATCTGTATAGGGTTAGCTTGTAGTATCCGCAATTTGAATGGTCAACCTGCTGGGCTATTCGACTGAACTCGTTTGTTAAGTCATGAAGGCTAGTTTGATTGATTGCACCCTTTGTTTCCCGGATCGGGTGTTTCACCGTTGCAATGTGATGCAACGGTTTCTTGTCGGCTCGTCGACCAACACTCGAGTGTCAGCCGGTATGTCACGTGGTACAATTGATTTCCTGCCTTTGCGGTCAACACCGGTCAATCGTTTCGGTCAATACGTTCGTAAACTTGGAGATCCAGCCAATTTGCAAAGTTTGTCAACATTCACCAGTGTATAGTGAGATTGGGGAGATACATCAATCCAACCCTGTAACACACATGGAAGGTGCAAAACACATGTCAAACATACCTTCAAGTGTTAATAAATTGGAACCGAGTTCCGCTCGAAGTGTATCGAAAAAATGTGCCATGTGAAGAGTTAAACGTTAACTTATTTCGGGAAAGTAAACCGGTGGTACCTGAAACAACGACCAATCACAAACTTTTCTGATTTCGCGGTTATCGAATACCAAACATTAGCGTGCACCCAAACACTCAAACCATCTACAAAAGCGCGGAATACAACAATTTTTGTTCAATAGCACGATGTCCTCTGCGTATGCCAAATCAAACGGATAAGTTGTCTACGGACAAATAGAGGCCATTTTCCTCGCAGGAAAACGTCGAAAATGAAAAGAAATAGAGAGAGAGAGAAAGAGAAAGGGAGGCGGTGCTGGCAAGTGAATCAGTGGACCGTAAGACTACTAAATGACCTTATTTCCTACAAGCGTCTATGGACTCATGAGATAATTCAAACGGAAAAGACTATGACTGCCACGAACATATACCGCTTTTTCCATCTCCCCAGATTTTGTTACCCACTATCACGGTTATTCCTTGGGTTGACGGTAGCTTAGTAAAGAAGATGACTGCAGGATCATACAAGGATCGAGCTGGATACCATAGTTTGAAACACATTGGTGGAGGTGGTATTTCCTTAAAGTCGAAGGGTCAAGTAAACCACATCACTGTGTGGTCAGTTCTGCTTTACGGTTGAGACTCTGAGTTTGAACGTGGAAGAAAACCATCGGCCGGAAGTCTCTGAACATCGATGTTGCATGGTTTGATGCGAGCAGGAGAGAGTGAGCGGATAAGTAACAGCGAGATAAGCCATCGTATATCCGGTGTGCTTTACTGAAAAATTCGTTATCATAACGAATTCAGATTAATAGTCTTTACTTATTAGGACAAGTATTACACGAGCTTATCGGGTGTCTGTCGCATTGTACTTTATTTGTGAATGGGCAGAGAAAATCACAGACAACTAGGAGGTGAGGCATGAAAATATACGCAAAGTGATTAAGTAGAGTAGGTATTTCCCATATGTCACGTTACGGGCAAATGATTCTGTAACTGGTTTCAGTTTCGGTTTTTACAACCATATACTATACACCTTAGTGCAGATTTTGGTTCTTGTCTTTAGGCTGCTGGTTGGTAGCAAACATCTAAGCACATTGAAGTAGTCGTGTTCTTGCTACCGTTTCTTACTAGAGAAAACCTATAAAGGTGTGTAGGCATACTTTGACTGTGCGCTGTGTGCTAACCATAGACGTTCACTTGGTTTTCCATTCAATTAAAAGGACCCAATCCTCATTTGTATATAGCTTTATTATGCTGCTGCTGCTGCTGATGATGATGATGATGATGACGATGAGGGCTAGGAGTAAGGANAAGCACATAGGCCTGGAACAATCGAAAAACCCGTTACTGCTCCGCTTTGTTTTATCGCGAATTTCAGTTTTACTGCGCCCGAAACCATCATCTGTAGGATGCTACTTAGTAGGCACCGGTTAAGCAGTACGCGAGGGTCGTAATTTGATATAAAAAATGAGATAGGGAAGCATGATGCACGAATATCTAGATTGCGCCGTACCAAACAAATCAAGCGATTATAGGTACTATCCTTAATAAGTGTATAAAACACAAGCGTCACTTGGTGTAGAGTTACCGTTACGCATCGATATGCATAACAATTTCCACGTAAGTTTAAGAAAGACTTAGTCATTGAACCGCATAAATAAAAGGGGTGGTATTCAGTCGGCTCAAGTTGCTGTCACCGGTGTGGGTTCGAACCT